TAGAGCGTGTGCTCTTAACAACAAGGCTGCCGGTTTGACTCCTGCATGGGATGGTGGCTATGTCCACCCGCAACTAAGATTGTAACACAGCACCTGGAGCTTAGAGGCCATGAGCTGCATCCATCCTTCTGACACACGTAGCATCCCACCTGATACATGAAGGTATGGAGGCTCTGGGCCTGTATCCCCTTCTTTTTACACCTGGGACCTAAAGTGAATCATTTAAAATCAGTGAATCTAAGCTTAGAAGTGGTATAATATCTTTTTTGTCAACTTTATAACTTTGTTGAGAAGAGCAAGAAAAAAGATGGCTAAATGAGTGCTTTACATACAAAAACAAATCTGTGGAGAAAAATGTAATTAACCATTAAGATATGAGAATAGCAGTTTCATGAGAAATAAATGACCCCTTGGTCTATTTTCTTTCCTGTCTAATACATACAGCAAACCTGTTAGAGGAAGGACAAAGTTTCAATGACCATGAGCCAAAGTCATAGGGAGGGATAGTGTCTTGTTGATACATCCTCTGTTAAATCCGAGGCTTGGTGACTATAATGCACAGAATATAAAGAATGAATGTTTGAGGTTCCTACACCTCATATTTCACTTCATCTTGCTTCCTCCAACAACACAGAGACCAAGACCATTTTCATACAGGAATTAAATGAAAATCTTTTTAAAGGGTCAAAGACTCTAAGTGCATGCCAGGCAAAATCTGCCTTGCCCAACTTGTTCTTGTCCTGACCAGTCTTGTACTCAAGAAAGCAAGGTTATGCTGGGTTTCGGGGAGTGGGGCAGGGTGACTATTGACTGAGTGGGCATCAGGCTTGAGAGCCCCATCCATGTGCTGGCTAATGACCAATGAGGCTGCCTGGTGCAAAGGCAAGAGGGCGGGGTGGAAACTGAGGAAGCCATTGGAATGCCCCTGAAATTTGAGCTGTGGGGAAAGAAGACAACTGAACAGAGAGAAATAGAGATGCCAAGAGAGACTCTGTGTGTCTGTGCATGTCAGAGAGAGAGAGAGAGAGAGAGAGAGAGAGAGAGAGAGAGAAAGAGAGGTAGAGATAGATAGAGGGGTTAGAGAGGTAGAGACGGAGATATAGATAGATAGATAGATAGATAGATAGATAGATAGATAGATAGATAGATAGATAGAGATAGATAGGGAGATAGGGATAGGGATAGGAATAGGGATAGGGATGGGGATAGGAGGAAAGAGAGAGAGAGAGAGAGAAAGAGAGAGAGAGAGAGAGAGAGAGAGAGAGAGAGAGAGAGAGAGAGAGAGAGAGACTGTCTTGCTGTTTTGGTTCTAGCAAGGCTCTTGGTTTCATATCCAGGTAGCTGTATCTTTATGATAAATCCATATTTTTCATACTATCCTTATTACTGTCAGACTATTACAACTATAAGTGGAAGGAAGGAAATGGAATGGGCCCTGCTAAGCTAATTTATTCCCATCACCCTGGAAAATGAAGAATCTTCTAGACCCATTTCCAATGGAGAATTACAGATCTTCTTAGGACTGCCCTATTTCAAGTTAGCCCAGTCTTTGGGGGCAGAATATGATACAAACCCAGTCTTCCCAACACATTCATATCTGCCCTTGTCAAATGACCAGCTCTTCAGGCCCCAAGGCTATCCTATAAGGTTGAATTAAGTCTTCAACTAGCGCCAAAGCTCTTAGCATTGTAGGATACAATTTGGGGGTCTTTGGGGAGTTGAGCTCCTGCCTCATGCTGATTGGGCAGAATCCTAAATAGCCAAGCAGTAATCCACTCAAATAGGAATTACTTATGCAATGAATATTCTTTTGTAACTGTGTCATGCAGTGTTATGAGGTTATCAGTAGCACGCTTTCATTACTCACAAATCCACCACCTCAAGACAAGTACAAAAGGCTTGAAATCAAAGACCTAGGTTCAAAAGATCACTCCCACTCCCGAGCTGTGTGACTTTGAGTAAGCTGCTTAAGCTCTAGGAGTTTCTAGCCATCTATAAAACAGAGATAACAATACCTACTTCACAGGGTTATTGTGAAGGTTAAAGGGGACATCTCGCAGCTGCACCACCAGCATCATAACAACAGTAATCGTTTCTTGAGCATGTGCTATGTGCCAGGCACTGAGTTAAGCACTTTATTTGCTTTATCTCATTTAATTTTCCTGGTGGCCTTATGAAGTGTGCACATTTCACAGGTAAGGTGCCTGAAGCACACAATGACCAAGTCACCTGCCTTAGTAACTAACAGTGAAGAGAGTGACACAGACCAAGTGCCCCTCCCTTTACTTTTTCATCTTTCACAAGGAGGAAGGTTCCAGACTTAAAGAAATTAGCAACTACTTACTAGGGGTTCATCAGTTCCAAGTCTCCAATATGTAGAATTACACAGTTTTTTTACTTCCTCGGGACCCTCTACATCATAATCTTTGGGATAAGCTTCTCTGTCCTGGTGCCTTAAGAAAAAATTAAGAACCTGTTAAGAGATAAATCTTATTTATCATGTATTGCATTTAAAACTTTTTAGTTACAATGAAATTTTACTGTATTTGTGACATTATGCTAATGATAGATTTGCTGAATTTGTAACACAGAACATATTTTCCACCTCTTTTTGAGAAATGCTGAGGCTACTTTCTAAAAGCAACTTGGCACATGGGATAAAACTATCACAAAAAATGATACTTACCACACACAGAAGTTATTCAATGACGCCAATGAAGTGAATCTTATTTAATAATGTAGATTGGTTACCGAAAGCAAATTCTAAAATAAGATATGATAATAGCTTAGAAAGGCAACTTGCCACTTCAGAAATTTTTTCTACCATGAATTTTAATTATAATTATTTTTCAGAATGAGAGCCACAATATTTACTCATATGAATTTATAACATGTGCTCTTGCTTCTAAAGAGGGTCTAAAGGAAACTGACAATTAAATATAAGCTAGGGGAACAAAAACAGTTTTTAAAACATGTGGATAGGAGAGGAAAAAATATTGCAAACATCTAGACCGAAAGATGTTTGAAATAGTTAGAAATACATAATACCCTGCTTTGCGAGCATAATTTGTTCCAGAAACAAACTACTTGTATTGCAAGACATCGCTCCTTTACCATGTTAAAAAGTATTAGAAATGCTTGCTCACCTTGCAGAACACTCGCAAACCAAGTTACTTGCAATCCAAGGTTGTACTGTAATAATAAAGGAGGAACTTGGAGACAAGGAAGGGTAAAGGAGTTGAAGTAACACACAACAGAAGTAGCTATTTCCATAAAGCTTTCTTGAGTAAAATAAAGGAAGCTGAACACAAGCACCCCCCAGAAGGGGCCCTGCTACTAAGGGAGGCAGGGCTAAGGTTGTGTAAGGGACCTTGCGGTACCCAAGAATTCATGTATCCATTCATCCCTTCATTTATTCCTTCATTCAGCATGGGTTTTTAAGTACCTACTACATGCCAAGCATTTTGCTAGGTGCAGGAAATGCAGTGGGGAGCAAACGATGCAGTCCCTGCATTCAGTTCTTCATGGTGTGGCAAGAAGACACAGAAAATTAGACAAGGAAAATATACAAGGTGCCGAGGGAGGTCACAGGGCGATGGAAACAGAACAGCATCCACTCAACCTGGATGGGGCGTCCAGCATCCAAGTTAAAAGGCCTCTGAGGACCCAACTCTTCACCACTTCATCCTGGCCGCTGCGCCACATTCAGATGACACCCTGGCCTCCGCACCTCTGAGAACACAGCAGGCGGGGAGCCCAGGAGGGCGTGGCGGAGCTCCAGCATGAGTCCTCTTGCCTTCCTCACATCTGAGCATTAAAGGGTAAAACAGTAAAGGCATTTTGGTCCCATATCAGCTTTTGTTGAGACCCTGCCAGGAAGCTCTCACTTAAGTCCTTTGGGGGGGATACTGAACAACATTAAGAACCCGGGGTGGCAGAGTGAATAAGGCCATGGGTTTGAGTCATTGCTAACCCAGGTCCCAGCCGTGTAACCTTCCTGTGCTTCCATTTTCACATGTGTAAAATGAGGAACAAAGAATGCCAATGCCTTTTAAGATTTTTAAAGGAATTAAAATTAAAAAAAAAAAGGCAGAAGGTCCTTCAAATACTGCAAAGCTCCATAAACAGCTAGGCACGTGAATACTGTACTTTGAAAATAATCAGGCTTCCAAAAATTCTGGTATACAAGAATTGAAACTTAAATTTCCTGTAATTTAACTTAATTTTCCTCCAAGCTCTCATTTTCCAGGTGGAAAGCCTTCATCTTGGTCAATTCTGGATCCCTTCCAGCTGTAAAGGATTGTGTGGTGCCACAATGCCAAGAATCCATCTTTGTTGTCATCGTCTTCCCTGGCGGCATCTATGGGAACATTCTCACTCCCTTGTGGTTTTCCATTGAGATCCATGCAGAGCTCTGCTATGCGCGCCTGGTCCTGCCACACAGGTGCTTGTGTAGGCTGGCACTAAAACTCCTCCTTGTGTCCCTCTCCACCCACAGTTCCTGGAAACCCAGGCACTGTTCCTGGACCGTTCGCCTGGCCCACCAAGCAGACACGTGTTTTATATCCCCAACCATACTGGGATTGGGGGGCACACAGGAGCCCCAACCTTCAACAGCTCCACAGACACTACCCTAGAAATAGAGGGCTAGGTCGTGATAGGTCCCATCTTCTCCAGGATTTCCATAGTCTTAATTCAGATTTGGGATCCTGGACAAAGCCACACATTCTCAACTTCTCTGGCCCCGTCTGTCTTCAGTAATGAACTTCTCATCTACTATGGGACAAGGTAGCCCCGCTCTTGATTATTCTTCCAAAACCATGGTGTCATCCTGAGGTCCAAGCTTTTGAAACCCAAAGTCAAGAATCTGGCTCTTGTTGCCTGCTAGGGCATTCTTCCCTGAGGCAATAAAGCCAGAATGCCTCCCCAAGGGCATAGGGATGCAGAGGAAAAGCACCAGTTAACATGCCAATGTATTATCCCCAGGGACCATCTCTGTATTGGACACGTAGGCACCGGGCCCAGAGCTTGTGATGCTCTTAGGGGCCCAGAGAATGTTTTAATTATTTTTTAAATCAGAAAAAGAAGACTATAATCCAGCTAGGATTATATCCATCTTTATACCAAAGATTCATAAACTATCATTTTTAATTTTTTTGAAGGCGGGAGGGGCCCATGAAAGCAAAGATAATTAGTGTCCATGAGAGTGCGAATGCAGCTCTGACTATCCCACCATACCCATATATTTTAAGTTGCATTATAACTAGATTATTACAAAAGATACAGTTAGGTTCCTTTTCTTATAGCAATCTCAGAGAGCAGCCAAAAGCCCAGCATTGAAAACATGAATCTATAATGAAAGTGTTTCTTTGGAGGACTGAGCTAATGCAACTGGCATTCCCTAATGCGGAAGGCTGCCCACAAATGATGTGCCCACAGCCTGCAGGCTCTGAGGGATACACAGCTGAAGATCTGTCCCTACTTCCAAGAGGCTGCCAGCCTAGCAAAGAGAAATATACATGTTTATAAATTATAAAATATATGAAGTAAAATATAAAATGTAAAAAAAATTTACTGTATACTAAATATATTTGTTTATATTTTTAAATATAGCATATTTATTGTATAATAAATGTATATTTATTATATGTAAAAAATAGTAAAAATGATTAGAGTATTATAATGGAAATGAGTAACCTAATTAATTCCCTGACTTTGTATTCTGTCAGATGAACATTGGCTTGTGCCTCAATTTGCCCAAGATGAACTGGAAATCATGCGCTGAGGAAAGAAATGAATCAATGGATTGAGAGTCTCAAGTGAAAAGTGACACATAAATGCAAAATATTATTGTGTGTAATAATATTCTATCGATCTACAATGCGTTAGTTGGGTATTTTTAAATGCTTCATCAATATGAATTAAGCCTTTCCACATCTTTGTGAGATAAAAATAATCAAAGTATAATAAATATATACTTTCTATAGCCTCATTCTCCTTGCTACCTGTGTTTATTTATGGTCACCATACAATTTGCCATGACTTGTCATTTATTGCAATAAAAAATTTTAGGAGGAAAAAAATGAATGTACTAAAATAAAATTTACAATGTCTCTGGAACGGTAACTTTGAAACTTTTTTAGTACAGTCCTCACTCACTTCACCCCAACCCAATTGAGATATTTGCCAGTGTAACAACTCACCCCACCCAGATGCAATCTACCCCACCCAGATGCAGCATTTTTAGTTGTTGCATCTGAGTGGGTGGGTTGTTACTGGCATCTAGTGGGTAGAAGCCAATGATGTTGCTAACATCCTGCAACGCACAGGACAGCTCCCACAACAAAGAAATATTTGGCCTAAAATGTCAATAATGCTGAGGTTAAGAAAGCTCTAGAGAACGGTCACATATCAGACTCTTAGATCAGTGGTTCCAAACCTGAGAGTTGAATGCAACAGCAAAACTTTCCCTCACAACTTGTAGAACCAACATAAAATTGACAATTTTTTGTCTGCACAGCATCATTAAAAATAACCATCTATCACCTTTAATAAGAAGACCGGTAACACCAAAGATAAGTAAAAATAAACTGAGTCCTTTAAAGGGAATTAATTTAGCTATACAAAAAATTTGCTACATGTCTTTACAGCCTGTACATCACCTTGGATTAGCAGAAAGGTCATCATTGACCAGTACTGGTCTCATCTACAGATTGGCTTCTGCAGATATTAATTTGCCCAGACATGAATTTGACAGCAGCTGGTCAGCAGTCAGTTCAAGGCCAAAGCAGCTTGCATACAGGTATTCCATGCTGCTGACTGAAGGAAGAGCTGTGTCTTCGATGCCAGACATTCAGATACAGGCTGACATTTTTGCCGGGAGGAGGGCCCATAGGGCTTCCTGCCAGCAGGGCCAGAATCCCTTAACAAGCAGCCTTGCTTCTGCTGAGAACCTTGCACTATCAAGCCCAGAGCTGAATGCTTTCGCTATATCTTTGCATGATAAACCTTTATGGAAGACATCCTTAATTATAAGAGATGAAACTTGCTTTCACTACTGTGGTAGAAATAGTAAGAATATGAATAGAATTAGGAATGGGGAAAGGGCTGACAGGACAGGATCAGAGCTGTCAACTGTATAAAAAACGAGCTTGGAATCATGACCCTGTTGTCAAAAATGCTACTTAGACTGATGTAAAGTGGGTCAAGGTCAATAGAATCTAGGAGGCCAAAGACAATTTGAGCAGGTCCCATGCTGGGCCAATGCCCAACATATCCAATTGGTATGCAACTTTCCACCACCAACCCTACCATTATCTGAACCCTCTAGACCCTTTTCTTCCTATCTCCTCAGGCCTAACATAGTCCCAAGTCATGCCTTGTCAACCTCTTGACAACCCTTGTCAGTCCTTCTGGGTCTGTTTCTGGGGTCCTTTGGGAGCTTGAGTTTCCT